AAGGACACAACAGTGAACAAGACAAGGCCCCAGCCCTCACAGAAACTTACTTTCTTATTCAGGAGGCAAACAAATTACAGAAACTTACTTTCTTATTCAGGAGGCAAACAAATTAAAAAAAAAAAAAAAGATATAATGTAAAAGCAGTATGTGCTCTGAAGAAAAAAAAAGAAGTGGGGTTAGAGGACAGAGAATAATAAGAGTCTGCTCTAATATTTAGGATGGTCAGGAAGGATCTCTTTGAGAAGGTGACATCTGAGGAGAAACATGAAGGCAATAAGAGAGGAAACCATACAAATATCCAAAGGAAAACCACTCCAAGCAAATGCAAGTACAGCAAGTACAAAGGCCCTGAAGGAGGAATGTATTTGAAAAACAGCAGGAAGCCTATGTGGTAGGAAGGCTGTGAGAGAATAGAGTACCAGGAAAAAAAGACAAGTGTCTGGCAAGGACCAGATTAGGGCCTCCCCTGGTAGGCCACAGTAGGGATTTTGGATTTTATTTTATAGAAATCATTGCAGAATTTTAATTTAAATAATTCTTTTTAAAAGGATCACACTGGTTGTTGTATAGAGAATTGACTGTAGAAGGGCATCAATTACTGCTTTTCACTCTTCTATCTTCAAACTCTCTCCTCTTTCTCTACACTTCACTCATCCTGAAAAAAACAAAAAAGCAGAAAAACCTCTCTAGTCATCACCCTATTTCTCTTCTTCACACAGTCAAGCTTTTGGACTATGTGGTTTAATACTGTCTTTACTTCTTCATTCCCTAATTTTCCTCATCCTTCCCCACTCCACCTAACTGCCCTCATAAAAGCTATTAACCTCCACATGCAATGTATGCTTCTCAGTCATCATCTTACTAAATTTCTTAGATATCTGGTACTGCTGACTACTGCATCCTCTTTGAAACTCTTTTTTAATGGCTTCTATGATACCATTCTCTTATTTGTTTCCTACCTTTTAGAGTGGTTTTTATCCTATTTTTTAAAATATTGGTGTTCTCCAGGTTTCTCTTCCCATGCCTCTCGATTGCTTAATCTATGAATCTCCAGAGGCCAACTGGTTGGTCTTCTTCCTGTTCTCTTACTGTCTCTTCCCTTCCTTCAAATATTCCTTCAACCTATACATGCTAACTGGGAAATGTTATCCATATTCAAGGCTACAACAAAATCTACTACCTCTTACCTATAATAATACCCAATTCAGAACTCTTTCTAGTCTTCCAGACCCATATTTACAATATCCATTGAACATTTTTACCTGTTACATCCCACAGGTAACTAAATCTATTACCTAAAACCTTATTACACCATTTACTTTCCCAGCTCCAAATGTGCACCTACCTCCCCATTCTAGGTTTTAGTCATCAGCACCACCATCAATCCAGTCATTTATTTCAGATACTTGAGTATCATCCTACAGTCTATGCCATCACCCTCAGAAGTGTCCTGCATTCAGGGGTCACTTGCTTTCCATTTCATCTCTTAAATAAATCTTGGATCTCTACCCCAATTCATCCCTGATGCTTATTTTAGCTCCTCATTTTGACTGCTTGAAATGATTTCCATTCAGTTTGTCTTTATTTAAATCGAGGAGTAACATATATATATATATGTATACATATACTTAATATATATGTATATCAGTAGACATTTTTTATATTACATAATTACATCGTAACATTTATAATTTTATATTAATACTTATATTGAAGGGCATAAAGTGTTAACTGGATGGTTGTCACTTATTTTTACATTCCTTGCTCAAAGAACATTACTTAGCATGAAATATATTCTTTTTTTTTTTTTTTTCCCCTTTTTGTCTTTTTCCATGTCCGGCAACGGATCGCAACCCTCAGTGTCACCCTCGCACCGGACCGGGACCAGCAACGGGATTGCAACCCTCGGTGTTGCTCCGTGCCTCGCTCAGCCAGTGAGCGGGAACCGGTCTGTATGTGGGATCCGAACCCTCGGCGGGAGCGCCGCCGCGCTTCCCAAGCGGTGCACTATAGCAGTGCGCCACCGGGCCGGCCCGAAATATATTCTTGATATACATTGGTTGAGTTGAATTCCACATTCTTCTGTATCCTATCTTTCTCTATTCCACTGTCAGGAAAACTTTTCTAAAGCACATATTAATCCTTAAGTAACTTTTCATTGAATAAGGATACAATACAAACTACTTAGCCACACTCATCATGATCAGGTCATAACCTATCTTTACAGCTTATTTTCCTGCAATCCTTGTCGTTCTTTTTGCAGCCATATAATCGCCTTGTGGTACATGGAATGTACCATGCATTCCCTCACTTCTGAGTTTTTTTATACACTGCTCCCTCTGCTTGCAGGACCCTTCTTCCCCAGTTTGCCAAATTCTTCTTCAAGTTAGCCCAAAGTGTTGACTTATATTGAGCTTATGAGACCTGATCCTCACAGATTGAATTAGGTTTCTCTTCTCCGTGCTCATCCTGCACTGATGTCTGCTATAGCACTTAGTACATAATGGTAATAATTACTGATCCTATTTTCTACTTTTTAAGTTATATTATATAATAAGATGTCTATTTTATTTATTATGTATTTGAACTTTATATTTCCTTAAGGGTTTAAATGATGTTTTGTTTATTTCAATAGTCTCAAAACTTCATCAAGGGCCCAGTACATAGTAGGCACTCAATAAGTGTTTCTTACATAAATCTATCAGAATATTTGAGTTTAAGAATATATAATATACATTTTTTCCTCATCCATTCTTGAGTATTTGACAAACATCACTTTTGAAAAATAAGTGAAAAAATAAACATATAAAAAAAATGTCACTTTTCCTTCTTTGGGATATATGCTAATGTGAGCAAAGGCTTCTTCCATTGGCCAGAGCAAGAAGAGTAGGAGTTAGGAGAAATTCTTGTTTCTGTCTTAACCTAAGAGTATCTCAATACTCCTATTCCCTAATTCTGTATTTCCTAACTTTCCTAGAATACAGGATTGTCAAGGTTTCTTAATGAACCTTATCACAAAACAAGAATAATAAAAGCTGTGAATTTTTTGTTTAGTTTTTTATAAAAGTGATTGTGCCTTAAACCTCAACTGGAAAGAAAAAGAAATCCAAATCCTAAACTTCATCTCAATAATTTTAGAAAGCCCTGTCATATCATGCCCCCCCCCACCATCAACCCCTAATGAAGACTTATAGTCCATAAGTCTACTTATACAATGGAGCATTCATTTGTAAACCAAGAGAAGAATCACAAAGAATAATGATGGTTTCTGAGGAATGTAGGGAGGTATGTACAACAGCTAGTTTTATAGTAAAGGTATCAACTAGAAAGGAGGAAGGAAATTGTATAGTTCTTATATTTATGGAAGAAACTAAGAACTGCATGGCTAGCATATTTCTTAGATTCAGAATTTCACAGGTTAGTAAAAAACTCTTCCTCCAACATAAGATTGCACACTTTCAACTGCCTGTGCAAGAATAATTTAACATGGCAGGCCTCAGGCTCTTACCTTCAGAAAGGTTGGCCTTTGTCTGGCATCTGGGAACTTGGCTTTTGAAACATTTCCTAAATTACAAGGTTGTGACTGTTGTGCCAGCCTACTTAGACTGTGCAATGAGATTTATGGTTAATATCTCCTTTTCTTCTGAGAGATTGGAATGTTGGTTGACAGAGGACGCCTATGTAACCAGCTCTCAATCAAAAAAACAAAACAAAACAAATCAAACAAACCCTGAACTCCGAATTTCAAATGGAGTTCCTTATGTACTGCACACGTGACTGAATTTTTCAAGCTGGAGGGAAGGTGCATAGAAGACTGAAGATAGATTCCTCCACATTCCTCTTGATGATGTCTTTTCCCATTAATGATCTGGCTATGTATCTTTACCATATTGCTGTAATAAATCTTAGCTACAAGTATGACTGCTGAGTCCTATGAGTTCTTCTAGAGAATCATAGAGTGTGTGAACAGAATTGGAGACCTCTGAAACACTACTAAATAATGACATTAAACAAGGAAACAAATAACTCTTATCATCATCATTTCACAAAGTGTATGTTAATAAATTCTGCCCTTTACTCTTATGGTATGAAAACATGGACCGTACTACTAGAATAGAGGGCAGAATTTTAAATGGAATAAATTTAGTATTACAAGAAATTCATTACATTATCCTTATTTTTCTCATCTGCCTGTAGATCAGAGAAAACCTCATTTGGACCAGTAATAGATACATGCTTAGCAAATACTAGGTTAGGTAATTTTTGCCTGGACATACCTTTTCTCCAATTTACTTTCTTTTGAAACGGAAAGTACTAAACAAATGTTATATGTACAGGGATAATTTTAAAAAGCTGAAATTTTTAGTAAGTCATTAAAGACTTCACTGAAATAGTCTATTTTTAACTGTCAAAAAATGGAAGACTTTTATCAATTAATAACAAATTTAGTTCCAGGATATTTCTTCCTGCCAGCCAAATAACAATGTAAAAAAATACAAAAACAAAACTAGCTGAGACATGGGACAGCATGGTGCTGGTAGTGCCAAGGTCAAGGGTTCAGATCTCCATACTGGCTAGCTGCCAAAAAAAAAAAGAAAAAAGAAAAAGAAAAAATAAGCTACCTGAGACAATGATACTTCTAACTACTTCTAACTTTCAGTATGTTGTAAAACTATTGTTTTTAGATTTACTTCCACCTTATATACAAAGTAAACATTAATGTTTAAAAATTATTTATGGAAGACAACATTCTGCATCTTTCCTAAACACAATCACCTTAAAATGAACTTATCAAATTAACCCTTCCCACAGGTCACAATATTTTTTAAAAAGATAACAAATAAAAATCTGAAGTTTCATCCATTAATATATACCTGTGTCTCAGTAATTATGTTCTTTAAGACAGTTTCTAACAATATAACATTTTTAAGTTGCAAAAGGCTCTTACATTCCATTCACCAGGATAAAGAACAAGTTTAAAAACCAGAACCACACACCTTTTGCTGTAGTTCTTTTACTGCAGAGTCTCTATCCATGCATGCCTGTCGGAAAGCTTCATATGCTTTATTGAGTTGCTCGCCAATGTTTTTATCCATTCCCCTTTGTCCTGTAGCATCACTATAAAGGTTGGAGTAAATGACAGGTCTGGAAAATAATCAGAAGAATTTAGGCAGTTATTACATCATATAAATCTCATTTTTAAAATTCATCTTAAAGATAAGTCTGTAAGGTTTACCACAAACATTATGGCAACAAGTACTATAAAGGTTTATAAAGTCATAAAAGTGTCATCCAAAATCCTAACCAGAAATATTATGAAAACTTAACTTCCACAATTTTTTAATATTCTTTACTAATATGCAAAAAGCAAGTAGAGTTCTAGTTCATAAATATGCTATTTTGAATATAGTAATCTATAAATGTAACTTAAAAATGGAAAAATATAAAAGGCCATACTTTATTATAGAAACATACAACAGGATTAGCAATGTGGGAAGGAATATCCTACTAAATGGACAGTCACTCCCACTTACAAGGTGAATTCTTCCTACACTGAAATTAGAGCAAAATAAAATAAATAATAAATGTTTGTGGATGTAGTTCACGCTCTTGTTATTGCAGAGCAATTAAAATGTGTGAAAATGCTCTTACTTTTAGCCCAAGATTTACAGAGAGCTCTGTTGGACTGTACATTGAAAAAGAAAAATCGAGCTTCTGGTCAAGATGGCGGAATAGACAGTCTCGAGTCACTCTCTCCCACAGTCAACCAGTTTACAACTATTAAAAAGCAACAACAGCCAAGCTGGGGCCACTAGAGTGCAGGGGAAGAGAAGGAGACCTATGGAGCACATGAAGGTGGGAGAAGCCACGATGAGAGAAAGAAAGAACTGCTCCAACCATTTAGTGCACTGGCTGCTTCCAGGATGGAGCCACTGAGTGCATGGAGCAGGAGCTGGTAAAGTCCACAGCTGTGCCCTTCGGAGGGAGTTGCTTGGAGGCTGCAGGGGAGAAGAGGGCCTTGGTGGCCCCCAGGATAGCAAGACTACTAAGGGTTCCTGTGGACCCACACAGGAGCGAGGAGCCACAACTGAAAAATAGGAGCCACTCAGAAGCTGGTGGGTCAGTCATCTCAAGGGACCTGTGTACGGCCTGTCCCTTGGGAAGTGTTTGGAGCAAGGTCAGTAGGGGAGACAGGCCTACCGGGAGAACACTGGGGCACAGCAAGGACAGCTGACCTGCCCCCCAATCAGCGTAGGACCACTCAGTGGAGACTGGTCAGGAATATAGAACTGCAGGGAGTGCCGTTTGCTGAAAAGACTCAGGCCCATACCAGAGTTTCTGTACAACCCAGGCGACTGGATCCTGTAAATCCCGGAAGCACCTATAACGTCAACCATTAAAACCTGAGCTGAACAAAAAGCCTTTCCTAGGGAATTGGCAACAAAGCAACAATTTAGCTCAACCACAGAGCTCAAGTCTGGTTCCCACAAGAAGTTCCCTCATTTTAGAAGTAAGGAAAGGACAACAAATTAGTTCCAGTGCAGAGTTTAAGTGGCAGGGACAGCAAATAATCCAATACAGAACTGAAAGAAAAAACAGAACACCCACAGACCAGAGACAGTTTGATATTAACCAGAAAAGGTCTCTCATCACCAAAAAACACCTATAAAACCTAGAAGGACTGGAAGTCCCCTGGGCTACCACACCAGGGAGGGGGGAGGGATGGGAGTCTCAGCCATGTCCCCAGATACCCGCAACCAGTCCCGAGGGAGGAGGGTCAAGGGCCTCAACCACACCCCTCTGACATCTGCACCCAACCCAGCAATGACCAAGCCACCACTGGAAGCCCCCTGGTCTCCCATGCAGGAATGCGGGGGGTGCCACAGGCCTCAACCCCTCCTCTTCTCCCACCCTATTTCTTTCCCCTTTCTCCTGTCCCCTACCCCCCAACTACTTTGCAACATTACAGAATGTTAAAAAAAAAGCAATATTAATAAATTTAATTAAAAAAAATAAAATTAAGTGAATAAATAAATAAATAAATAAAATTAAAAACAAAAATCGCATCCCTTCAGTCCTACCCCCACTACCTATTGGTTTTCCAACTTCCTTGCCATTTCTGAACTACAGGTGATTTGCTCAGTGGAGGTAATTTGGTTTTATCATCTCATTTTGCATAACATCTCTAACCATATTCCTTGGTCCTGAGCAGAAAGCTAGCTAACGGCTCTGATTTTTTCCTGTCCAGCTGTAAAAACCACAACGTAGGACCTACCATTCTCTTAATCCTCTGAAAGTCACAGAACAGACAAAGTTCTCTATTAGTAAAAGGGAGCACCAAATTATTTCACTTTTTTGGAAATCCTTCATAATCTCAGTCTCTAATCTGTCATAGCATCTTTCATTTTATCTTCAGGTGTGCAATGCTTTAAAAAATTTTTTTTTTTAGCATTTTCAATCAAGATATAATTCATATAACATAAAATCCACCATTTAAAAATGTACACTTCAGTATTTTTTGGTATATTCACTATGTTGTACAACCATCACCATTACTTAATTCCAGAACACTTTTATCATCCCAAAAAGAAACTCCACACCTCTTAAAAATTAGTCCCAAATCCTCTCCCCACATCTCCTGGCAACAACTGATCTGTTTTCTGTCTCTATGGATTTGCCTATTTTTAACATTTCATATAAATGGAATCACACAATACATGCTCTTTGTGTCTGACTTCTTTTACATAGAATTTCTGAGGTTCATCCATGTTGTAGTATGTAACTACTTCCTTTTTATTGCTGAATAATATTCCACTATATGGATACACAACATTTTGTTTGTCCATTCCTCAGCTGATGGACATTTGGACTGTTTCTACTTTTTGGCTATTATGAATGAACGCACGATGAACATTTGTGTACGCATTTTTATGTGTACATATGTTTTTCAGTTCTCTTAGATATGCGCCTAGGAGTAGAATAGCTGGGTCAGATGGTAATTCAATGTCTAACTTTTTGAGGAACCGACAGTTTCCATAGAAGTTGTACCACTTTACATTTCCACTAGCAATATGAAAGGGTTCTAACTTCTCCATATCCTCACCACCACTTCTTATAGTCCATTTAAAAATTATACCCATCCTAGTGGTACCTTCATCATGGTTTTAATTTGCATTTCTCCTCCCTAGTGATTAATGATGTTGAGCATCTTTCCATGTGCTTATTAGCCACTTGCATATCTTTGGAGAAATGTCTATTAAAATCCTTTTCCCACTTTCTGTCTTTTTATTAAGTTGTAAGAGTTCTTTACACATTCTAGAAACTAGACCCTTATCAGATATATGATTTGCAAGTATTTTCTCCCATTCTGTAGATGTCTTTTCACTTTCTTGATAGTGTCCTTTGATGCACAATATTTTTTCTTTTGTTGCTTGTGCTTTTGGTGCCATATCTAAGACAAAAGTTATGTAGATTTTTTTTTTTATCTAAGACAAAAGTTATGTAGATTTTTTTATGCCTAACACAAAGTTATGTAGATTTTCACCTATGTTTCCTTCTAAGAGTTTTATAACTTCAGCATTTACATTTAGGTCTTTGATCCATATTGAGTTAATTGTGTATATGTGTGAGGTAAGGGTCCAGATTCATTCTTTTTCAGGAGGCTATCCAGTTGTCCTGGCACCTTTGTCGAAAGGGCTATTCTTTTCCCACTGAAAATGGCCTTGACACTCTTGTTGAAAATCAACTAACCATAAATCACAATGTTCTTTTAAATATCCAGGTAGAAGTCATTTTTCAATCCTAGCAGCCAAGGTCTTTCATTTAAGATAATAAATACACCCAAGTAGTTTACCAGGCTTAATAAAAACAATTCCAAGGTTTTTTATTACAGGGATCACAGTGTCACTCATTACTTTCTGAAGAACTAAAGGAATAGAAATTCTTCAGGCATTCCACTTAGGAAATGTTTCTACTGCTACTCCAGATAGATGAAAAAGTTGAAATCTTGTTAGGATCATTAACGTTGCTAGGATCTCTGCCTAGCCATAGACACTACGGAAACATAAACAATTAGCATTAATAGGAAGTGTCACTTTTGAGTATTTTATTTATTTAGATATTATCTCATTCAAAAAAATTTAGGCCACTTACAAAAAGTACGTAAGAGATTAAAAAGAAGTATGCAAGGAAAGAAGGAAAAATATGCGTATGTAGTCACTAGGACTATAATATACTGTAATACATTAATGCAGAAATTAGAGGTTTTAAGTAACTAAGTAGCTAAATTATCTATAACTGTTTTAAAAAGCTGAACATGTCATGACAAATTATCAATGTAAATCACATGTGTATTTTTTAAATCTGGGTCAAATAAAAGCCTTGAACTGGGAATCCATCTAGTTTCCTGCTTTGTTCTATCAGTGACTGACAGTTATAGGCCACTAAATCTTCTGGGACCCAAGTTTCTTTCTCTCCAGTGCAAAAAAAAAAAAATGTTTGGATTCGATTTCTAAGGAACTTCCTTGTTCTACAGTTCTTAAGTCTATGAGTTAAAAATGCATGTCTGTTCTATCAAGAAGGCACACTCTTGTTTTTAAAAATGTAAATGAAGCACTAAAAATAGCTGCAACATATGCAAGTAAATCATTTGGAGCCCTCACTTCAGGTCCTTGAATTAGACCACACAAATGTCACTAAGAGGAGCTACTGAGTAAGTTCCACATGGATGAATCCTACTCCTGAAATAAGAATGTATGCTGAGTAATATGTTTCAGATTGATACAAATAAATAAATGATACATTTAATTTCTATTTATAACCGGAAAGAAAATTGGGTGTTAGATCAGCAATACTGACCAGAGAAAAAGAAAAATCTTTGGGACCCAGCTAATTGAATTGGATGGATTTCAAATCTTAACACCCTGAACTTTAAAGGCATTTGTTCCTCTGTTTTTTTTTTTTTTTAGTACCACCTTCAAGTTATGTTTCTTTCACTAAGTATTTTCACAAATTCTTCATTTCCTATTACTAATATTTCCATTTGACTGATAAGGCTCAGAAGGCTTACCCATAGCTATACAGCTGTGTTATGAATTGGACTAAACCTTCAAAATTCTCAGTTCAAGGATAGTTCATTAAAGCCA